CAGGTTCAGGGCTGGGTGTCACCATTCACACTCTCCAATGAAGGATTGTCATGCAAGTAAAAAGATTGCTAGTTAAATATTGTTTCTCAAAGTGATATGAGCAAAAGACACATGAGCAGGTCAGTTAAAACTATAAATATTCTGTTGAAACTAATACTGTAGTAAGAGGGCACCCTGGGTATATCATACTTGGGCTGAAAAACTCCAAATGAGCACTAGATCAGGGGTCTCCAACCTTGGCAACTTTAAGCCTGGTGGACTTCAACTCCCAGAATTCCCCAGCCAGCGGGGGCTGGTTGTGGGGGAAATGAGAGGAGACTGACTATGTCCACCGCTTTGAAACAATACAAGGCGGCCTGTCAAATGAAAGGAATAACCTCTGACCGCCCTCTTCTCCTTTCTCCTTCCCAGGGGGGCGGATGTGCGCTGATGACCCGAACCAATAAGTTTGAGCAAATCGTCCGAGGCATGAACTCCGTAAGTCAGCGGCCGAGGGAGGGGCAGGGGAGTATTAAGAAGCCCCGTGAGCCACCGTTCATGGGTGAGTGGGACAACACATGGGCTCAATTTTCTTTCTCTTCTCTTCTCTCCCTCCCTCTCTCTCTCCCTCCCTCTTCCTCTCCTTCCCTCTCTCCCTCCCTCTCTCTCCATCTCCCTCTCCCCCTCTCTCTCCCTCCCTCTCTCAGGTCCTGGATGTTCCCCTGACGGTTAAGATCAGGACGGGCGTGCAAGAGAAAACGAACCTGGCTCATAAAGTGATCCCCAACCTCCGGGAATGGGGAGCCTCGTTGGTCACGGTATAGGATGCCTGCTTCCCTCCACTCCGGTTGGGATGGAGGTCTTTCGTTTTAGCTTAAGTCTCCTTTATTGTCCTTGCACCCCCGTACAACGAAATAAAATGCCGTCTTCAGTGCACGTTATATTATAACTATAAAAACAAAACATAAATGCACATCCTCCGCATTCCATGCAATTGAATTGAAAGCCCCTGACATTGCATTAATATTGCACTATACAGCAGAATTCAACAGAGCTCCTGCCCTGGGATAGAAGCTGTTTTTCAGCCTGTTTGTCCTTGTTTTTATTATTCTCCTGGACCGTCTTGCAGATGGTCATAGTTCAAAAAAAAAAGGGTGCCCAGGATGAGATGGATCTTTGAGGATGTTTTGAACTTTCTTAAGGCAGCGGGAGCTATAAAGCTCTTCCAAAGAGGGGAGAGGGCAACCCAGGATCCTCTGGGCAATGACATTCACCCTCTGGAGTGCTTTCCTATCTGCCCCTGTGCAATTGGCAAACCATACAGAAGTGCAGTAAGTTCAGATGCTCTCTATGGTGCAGCGGTAGAAGGTCCCCAGCGGTTTTCCGTTCAGTGGTTGTTTCCTGAGAAGCCTCAGGTAGTATAATCTCTGCTGGGCCCTTTTGACCAGGGCTGCAATGTGAGCACCCCCAGGTCAGGCCCTCTTTTAGGGTAACACCCAGAGACATAAAACTGGCCACTTGCTCCACTTGGCAAATCCGAATGCTAACTCGTCCTCGGCTGCTCCCTGTCAGGGGGTTGGGGGGTGGGGGTGGAGAGCTGCTCAAGAGAGGAAGAGTGGGGTAGCATTCCTGTCCCGTCCTTCCTCTTCCTGGGGGTTTCTCTAGCAAAGCTTCGGAGAGAGAGGGAGAAGTGGAAGCTCCCTCCCGCCTTGCTTCTTTCGTTAAGAGCAGGGAGTCTCCCAGCTTGGCAACTTTTAAGACTTGGGGGGCTTCAGATTCCCAGAATTCCCCAGCCAGGCACTCTGGAAGGCAGCCAAGCCTGGCTGTGTTGATTTCATCCATGCCAACGGCACCTTTCTCTGCCCCTTGTCAGCTCCACGGCCGATCGAGGGAGCAGAGGTACACAAAGATGGCCGACTGGGGCTACATCGCGGAGTGTGTCCAAGTGGCCAGCCCCATGCCCCTCTTCGGTGAGTGGCGGCCAATTCTGGCCTTTCCCTAGTCCTCCTGGGACAGCCCTTGCAGGATACGGAAAACATGGCTTGTTTTCAGCATGGCTTTGCTTGCTTCCCTTGCATTAGTCAGCAA